CATATTTGGCTTTGTTCATGTACATCTAAAATGATTTTTTGGCACTGTAGTGAGGTTTACGTCAGGGGCTGATAGTATTGGAGTTTTTATTTCAGCTCATGAGCATGTATGTTCTATCATATATTTTTGCTCCTATTGTGTATGTTTATCTGAATGTTTGATTTTGCAGGCAAGAGCTGACGATCAGGCCATCTACATAATCAAGCCTAGCCAGATTTTTGCTCCAGATCTACCCAATCATTGCTAATCTAGATGATCTTATATTTGTTCTCTTATCCCCTGTACTTTAGTTAGACATTCTCTGGATGTGGTAAGGGATAAGGCTATGCCTTTTCACGCAAAAGATCTTATATTTTCTGTGAATGATATAATAATTCAAATGTATCCTCTATATAGTACTCTCTCTGATATACTCGTTTCTCATATACAGATTATTGCAGACATAGAAAAAATCATGGCGACCGGGAAAGAGCCAAGCGATGAGTTCGATGTCATTGACATCCATCATCGATCTAATGTCCCTTTTCCAACAATGTCATATTTATTAGATGCACATACTAACTGGTTCAGCTAAACATCATTCTTTGTTTTTTCGAAATCACCATCATTCTTCGGTCTTCTGCAATTATCAAGCTCTAGGACATTGTTGCATCAGACCTACTATATTCTATTAAGCATTGATCACAGCTGTTCACAGTCACAGCCACTCCATATCCCACCTAAAGCATAGATGTTGGAGAACATGTCTTAAGATCATTGCAATGCTCAGACTCGATCAATATGAGCAATTTCCCTACACGCCTTCCTCCAAACAATTACGGAAGTGTTATCTGATGAGTCGTCAGCCAAAAATTCCTCAAAGACCATGACAAATGACAATAACACTGGTGAGATCCAAAGGAGCGCGGCAACGCCGCGCTTGTGGTTCTAGTTTTCAACGAAGTTTGATTTGGCTGCACCAAAACGGAAAGCCATTTTTTTTTTGCTTCTCCAATTTTTGAAACTATCTGAATTTATATTTCATAGATGATTTTAAAAATGGTTTTAGCTGACACCACGTTAGCCACGGGAAAGGCAGATATTATATTGATAGTTTGGCGGTTAATTACAATAAAAAACGCATCGATTTTTTTTAGAAAACTCATCCAGACACTTTTCTAAAAAAATATGGAAATAAAATCCTAAAATTTGATTCAATATTAGAACATTTGTATCAACTCGAAAATATGAAACCGACTTCATGTTTTTCATAAATTCGTTCTTTATATTATGGTTTCTAGCTAGGCTTGGAATTATCGTGTTTGGGACTGCTCCAATCCATGTTTTTCAGCTCCGCTCTACAGTTTTTTAGCCAAACGGTTTCAACTTCACGCACTTCGTTCGAGGAAAAATGATGGAGTTGTGAGAGCACCTAAAGAGATGCTCCACAAACTTCAGTTTTTTTGTGGAGCTGCTCCACGGTGAAGTTTATGAAGCAGTCCCAAACACCCCTTAATATGAACACATGTGTCGGGGTTATGATCCCCGGGTGTCTCGAGGCAACGATTAGTTAGCAGGCCGAGCGACCCACAATACACCAGCTAGCGAAGGCCCAAATGATCGAGGCCTAGCTAAGCCAAACGGACCAGGCTAGATGCCGAGGACGGGGTCAGCCACGACCCCTCCCTTCCGCCTTAGTCACACGCCGCACAAGGGTCCATGACCTCTCCGCCGTCCTGACCCCTGGGAGGAACGGAGATAGGTCGAGCCCCGCCAAGCGCGCCTGCTCTGACAAGAGTGGACATGCCACACTGACCCGCAAGGGCCGAGGGGACTGCGGTCACCTCGGTCCGGTCAGACGCCATCCCCGCGCCACGCAGCACAGGCAAGACAACACCGCACAGCGGAGACTGCCAGTACAACAACCCGCCGTCCAAATACAGTCCAACAAGATGTATTTATGATTCTACCCACTACGGGATAGAATCCACGACGGAGGCCTTAACTTATAGGCTATCCAAGCCCGCGGGAGCCACCAACTCCACAAGCTAACTAGGCGATCCACGACCTGGGGCGGCTACCAACTCTGTACGACACCCCAGGAGAACAGGAGGCAATGACGAAGGACACAACGGAGACCACGTCGCATAGGGCAGCTGGCGAATCAGCACCGTGCCTATAGTGCCGCCACGGTCGGTACAGTAGCACCCGCCACACCTTACTGCGATGTGGGCACAAGACCATGATGACAACCACACCCAGACTTGCTCCACAAGACGGCGTAGCTTGCAAGTTAGCTAGGCCCCTCCCTCAGGCTCATGATCTCTCGGTCAGGAGAACCTTCTTCTTTGTATATGCCTTGGCCCCGAACTCTATATAATGGCAGCCAATGCATCAAATCCTCACATCTTCACATTCTTCACAACCTCCGGACTCCACAAGCTTCCCTTCAGGCAGTTTATCTCCTAGCTCTAGCTCTTCTACCTCTTGCACCATTCTTTCACCCTCTATTGTAATAACTTCAGAGTATTCAAGCGAGCAACACGCACTCGATCATCTCTGAGACTGGACGTAGAGCTCCGGCCTAAACCAATATAAATTCTCGTGTCTTTTAGATGCTAGCATCATTTTACTAGAGCACCACAACAATCGCATAAATTTATTAGTCTGTTTTACGAAACACCAACAAAGTACGTCACTTATGCATGAATGTTTACATACACCCATACACGCATGAACATACACAAGACGAACGCATGCATACACACTGCATGTCGATATTGACAATCCGTATTGTTTTGTTAACTGCCATGACTGTGTAAGTTTTGTGCTAATAATTCAAATCTCACTGAAAATAATTCATTTGCATTCTTGAAAACAAAAAATAGAAATAATGAATGTTTCTTTGTGATATGGTGGTATATAGATGGGAGAATTATCTATGTGGCACTGAAACAAATCAGTGTTTCGTATTTGTCATTTAAAATTTTAAACTTTCTTATTTGACACATAGTTGAAATTTGCTTTCGTAAATAGCACTACCATCCATTTATGACAGTAACGGTGTCAAATGACCGGTAAAATAACATGAATACCCTTGTCCTGGTCACTGAGGTGTAGGCCCCACTCGTCATCCCCTTCCTCACAAGACATGAATACCCTCTCACAAGACAGCCAGCCACGGACCTCCGCCCCTAGGCCGTACGTAGCTCACCAGTCCTAGCTCCTCCTTCCTTTGCCCTCCCTCCGCGCGAGGAGAAAAGCCAGCAGTAAGCAACTCAGCGGAGCACGGCAAAGCAAACCAAGAGCTCGCGCTGCCGTGCCTTGCCTAGCTAGCTTTCGCCACGACGAACCTGACCTGAGAGCGCGGCGACCACCCCCACCGGCCACTGGCACGCGAGTAGCTTCCTTCCGTTTCCTCGCGCACGTCTATTTGCCCGCGAGAGCCGGACGCGTGAGATGGAGATGGCGGGGGCGGCCGAGGCGGACACGCCGTCGAAGGAACCCGTGCGCACGGGGCGGAGCAACACCATCCTATTTCCACGCTGCTGCCGGGCAAGCGCGCGCGCGAGCTGCCGAGCCGCCGCCGGTCTCACGCGCAGGGGCCGGGGGCGCTGCTGTCGCGCAGATGGTGGTCCGCCTCGCCCCCGGTTGGCAATGGCAACGGCGAGCGCGTGCGCCTGGAGCTCCGCTCCGCCATGGCCGCGCGAAGGTGAGCATGGCCTACATGCGCACGCCTCGGAGCGCGCCGACGCTGGCCCCAGCACATGTACGCGGCTCATCGAGCAGAGGCCGGGGGTGGCCTGCTCGCGCTCCGGCCATGGAGCCAGGGCAGCCTCGCAGAGTGGCATAGAGCCGGGGAAGAAGGGAAAGAAGGTCGCGGCATCTGGGATTGTGGGTCTCGTCCAAATTTCAGTCTTCTCTAACAGATGGTACATTGGACATAGGGAGAAAAAACTGATACGGTCAAACCAGTCAACTAACAGATGACTAGTGAAAATGGACGGCAGTGCCATTTAAGAAAGGAAATTTTAACTTGACGTCAAATAGAAAAGTTCAAATTTTCAAGTGCCAAATACAAAACATTGATTTGTTTCAGTGCCAAATAAATAATTCTTCCTATATAGATGGTGGGGCCATCCGAGTAAAGAATAATGAGAGCATCTATTGACAAATAAACATCTAACGAAGATCGTACAAGAAATATTCAAATAATTCCAAGCTAGATACCATAATATAGAACATGATTTTATGAAAAAAAATCAAAATTGGTTTCATATTTTCCTGAGCTCAAACAGTTTTTCTATAATTTTTCAATGAGCAGATCAAATTTAAGATATTTAATTCCATATTTTATATAAAAAGATTTTCATTGTTACTACAAAAAAAATTTATACTTTTTTTAAATCTAATTGATTATAGTTCCTCATAGCTGACCAGCGTCATGTAAGATAGCGGAGTGACGTCCACGTCAATTAAAATTGCTTCCAAAACTGAATAAATTTAGACGGTTCCAAAAATTGGAGGACATTAGAATATCGGTTTCCGGATTAGAAGAGAATAATTAAGCCGTCAATGTTATTTTTTCTTACGTTGGTCGTTTCATGATACGGGAAAAAAAATCTCTGCAACACATGACGCGTGTCCCCTGGCCCCATCACAGCAGACGCAAGTTGCAGCCCTTCCGGGCAAGCAGCTCTGCAACACGAACGTTCTACTTCGCCTGGAGCTCTTCGTCTCCAAATTCAGACAACGGAGAAGGTCAAAACTCGACAACAGATCAGTAACGAACAAAGATAGTTCAAATGAGATAGAAGTAAGAGTAAACCATAAGCCCCGGCTCTACGTTGTTAATTTACACCCCACTGTTCAGGCTGTAATTACATTACAACACCCAAAATGAAAGAAAGAACAAACGTAAAAGGAACAGCACGCTATCATACACGAGGGAGGCTGACTGTGAGCCTGCTGCCTGTGCCTGTAAACACTTCATCGGACGGACGTGTTCGGTGGCCGGTGGGTCATCTCCTGGCCGGCTCGCCCCTCTGCATCCTAATCTGCTCCCTGAACTTGGCTATGAACTCGTCGGCCTTCCTGTCCACCTCGTCCTCCACTTCCTCCACCTCCGTCTCCGTCTCCCCTTCCGGTCCCGGCCTCATCGCCAGCTCAAACAGCTCCTCGTCGCACGAGTTGTCGTCGCCGTCGTCCTCATCCACCCCGTTATCTTCGCAGCTATTTTCCTCCTTGATGGCGTCATCGTCGTCGAGATCACTGCTGAACGAGCTGTCCGACGCCGCATCCATCTCATCACCCAACGTCTCGTCGTCTGTTTCGTCGTCGATGGGCACTACAGGATCGTAGCGGCGGCCGAAGGCGCTCCTCGTCGCTTGCACCGCGGATCTGGACCGGAACTGCTTGCTGCCCGCGCCGCTGTGCGAGTGCGAGCCCAAACTTGCGTTCGGGCTCCGGTCGCTGCTAAGTGCTCCGAATTCATTGAAGCTCCTCGCCTTGGCCTTCAGGAGGCTGCTGCGTCGCCCGCGGCCGAGAAACGGCGGCGGTGGTGGAGGAGGGGGAGGCGGGAGCAGAGGCGGCGAGGACGGCGAGAGCGTCAGGTCGGCGTCGAGGACGGAGGACGGCGAAGGGATGGCGTGCTCGCGCACGACGTCGTATCCCGTTCCCGCCTTGGGAGCTAGGAGCAACTCTTCTCCTCCTCCTCCTCCTCAATGCTGCTGCCGTCGCTCATCATATCCCCTGTTGGTGCTGGTGTCGCCACCGGCTCCGACTCCTCGGCCGCCGCTGGCTTCAGTTTTCTCACCGGCAGGAGGAGTGGTTTCTCGCCCGTGTCGGTGATGACGGTGTTGCCGCTGTTGGTCCCTGACCCGGAAGTGTCCGCGACGACCACGAGCGGGTCGTCTGGAAGGTACTGAGAGGTCCACGCCTGCTGGACGCCGCCGCCACCCTTGCTGGCGCCATCATCGTCTCCGCCGCCGTCGTGTTCCTCGAAGACCAGCGAGCCCTGCATCATCTGCGAGACGTAGGCCTCCACCGCCGCCGCCTCGTCGTCGACGACGACGGGCAGCTTGGCGTTCGCCGCCGCGGCCACCTCGGCGTCGGCGTTCTTCTGGCCGAAGACGCCGTAGGAGATGATGATGCCGAGCAGGAGGAGGTGCGGCAGCTCCCAGATCCTGGGCGCCTCCGCCTGCCCCGACGGCAGCAGCGGCAGCAGCGCCACCACGAGCGCGAACAGCGCCGCCTTCGCGGCCAGGTTGGACGGGAACAGCAGCGCGAGCACCTGCTGCAGCCACGCGGACGCGGAGACGTCGCTGGCCGTCGTCGTCGTAGCTACTCTAGCAGGCTGCTGCCCTGGAGCCGTGTCGGCCGCCTCCGCCATTGCGGACGCGGCGAGGTTCGTGCGTGCACGCAGTCTCTGCGCGCGCGCGCGCGGGCTGTGTTTGTTCGGGGGCTCGATAGGCTGCTGCGATGCGGTGGCGTTGGAGTTGGAAGCTTGGCTTGGAGCGATAGATCCTCGGCTTTCGGACGGGGAGAGAAAGCTACGAGACTTGGTGGTGAAGCATGCGACGAAAGGGAGGGAAAGAATTTGATCGCGGCCGATCGAGCAGAACGGAGAGCAAGGGGAGCTGGCCACTGTCATTTTAAATCTGACAGCAGGCCTCGCGCTCCCGGGTGATTAACTGCTACTAACGGAAACCGCAGGAGTGTGCTGGATCAAATGGCCGAAATTAATTTGAGGAAAAGGACCTCTTGAGAGCACTTGGGACTTTGGCATAGTAACCTCTAGAACTTCATGCACTGTATGTTCTTAGACAGTTAGGCTATTTAATATTAGTGTCTACTGTCTAGCCTAGCCACGCAAAGATGGTGGAGCCGGCAGCCGGTGCATGCATGGTTGCCGGAGCACACACGGCACACGGGCGGCGTCGCCAAGGTCAGACAATGGGCCATGCACGGCTCACCTGCCTCTCGATCGTTGATCGTTTCTGCTTGGAGGATTATTCCAACAATCTCGTTCAGTAGATGTTTCTAGTAACGGAGGAGCATGCAGATCATCCTGATGTGACGAAACAGGAAAGAAGCAGCTACTCCACACTTCAGGACGCATTCATTGATCCTGATGATCCGGCGAGCTCCAGAATCACAAAAGCTAGGGACCTAGGGTGCTGATACGACCTCTTTGCTATTTTTTTCTTCGCTGCTGCTGGCACAGAATACGCATAGTTGGATGCCTTGTACGGTCGTGTTATTTTTTGAAGACTACACAAGTCCCCATGGCCGTAGTTAGATGTGATACGATCCGATCCGATTTGTTGCTGCGATGTGATTCGTCTTCGTCTCATCTGAGATGTGAACGCTGGCTTTCTGAAGAGGTGTGTAGATTTTCAGGAAACGGAAAAAAGGTAGCTCCAGGCTTTCTGAGCATGCATGATGCATGGGTTATCCTTTGCTTAATTTTGCAGCTATCCGATCCTTTACCACCCCCGGGAAGGAGGAGATTCTATGCGTTTCCTTGTTCTGCTTAATTAAATTCTCTGGGAGGTTGAAGAATGTTCAAGTTACTGAGTAATCAAGGGGGGCAGTAATATTCGACCCCATTTCAGTTTGCCGCCCCCCTGCACTCCAGTTTTTTTTTTTTTTTTGAGCAAAACTCCAGTTGTGGTTGACTGGTCGTGGTCGTGGTGAAGCAGAAGCTGCGGTAGCAGGCGTCTGACCACGAGCATGCCTCCGAGATGATATAAGGATCTGGACTGGGCCAGAATTATTCTTGTTTTTTCTGCTCTGAATGGTCAGTGAGCTAGAATTCCTTCAAATGGGCCACAATGTCTGCACTTTCTCATTAGGTATTTGTCCTGTTTATCTTTTATTTCCCTGCATACTATATAAGATTGAACCGTCACTGTACTTACTCACCATACATACACATACTGCTCTTCGTCAGCGGAGATACTCTAGAATCAATGTCGACTGTCATGTTGATGGAGCTTTTTTTCATAGTCCGGAAGGGCAGCGACCGGTGTCATTATCAGAAATGGCAGGGGGTCTCTCTGGAGTAACTAAAGATGCCGAAGAAGCCGAGCCTGAGCCGCCGAGGCTTGCCTTGAAAAGTTGAAAGGGTGCGACTAGCGACCAAACCGATAGATCGTGATTTCATACTCGACCATGCCACACTCGTAGGGAAGCTCAACTCCTGCGCTAACAGGAATACTGTTGACACTCAAAAGTGTCACAATATGAGATTGGGCTATGATGTTAAGTTCATAATATTCAAAGGGGTTTCGGAAACAGGAGCTCGGAAAATTCCGACCAGGGTTTGGAATTTCCGACCCAGAAACCTTAAATGAACCAGAGCACTTTGGTTGAAATTTTTCTCGAACCAGCAAGCCGACTCACCCTGTTTTCAGCCCAGCTATAGTGCTTCGGCTAAGCCAACTTTTCTGTTGTTTTCGAGTTGGTTTGACTTTCAAATCGATTTTGGACCTATTTTGGACTTGGAAAAATTGGAGATTATGTTTAGGACTTGTTTCCTGTGATAAAATCACCCCTTCTATATATACGAGAGGATCATGACCGATTGAAGGATCCAACACTCAATCGTCATTTTACATCTACTACCCCAATTTTATCCTTTTCCAACCCCTTGTTTGTTGCATCTCTCTGCGAGATTTATCGGTGTTCTAGATAGTTTTGCTGATGGGAGGTGCTCCTCCCCGACGGGTCATCCAGGGAGGTGTTCTCAGGCTTTTGCGGTGAAGGACAGGCTCTAGATCGGTTTAATCAATCCTTAGAGTTGCTTGCTACGCGTTGAAGGTTGATTGCTAGTCCTTGCTAGTGTGTGATTGGGATCTCAATCCAACGTCAACAAATAAAAATAAATAGTATCCATATCCTGGGTAGCCTTTGGGCCAAAGCGGGGAGAGGTCAAAATGATATCTGTAGTGCGGCATGCGTTTCCTTTCATCAGTGTTCCAGAGTGTATCATTTATCAAGCACTGGTTTCTAACTAGTGTTTTGTTTTAATAATAAATCTCTCCTCCTTTAAAGAAAGGTAACACGTGTCACGAATTTAGGGCCTGTTTGGATTCATTAGTACTAAAAGTTAGCAGATAAAATTAGTATTAGTGGGTCCAAACAGATATGTTAATAAACCTGCTTTTTTTCTCTTGAATACACAAGAGCGTTGTGTATCATTGCATTAAGGAGAAATAGAAGTCATTTACAAGGGATCAGCCTGAGGCCGGGTTCAGAAACGAAATAGTACATTGAAGAACTCGGTGGGTACGAAGCTACTGTGGCAGAACCGTCCGAAATAACACGTTTTCGGAGGCGCTCGTCTTCCACTAAACACTAAGCACCTCGAAAGTGAGCTACATCGGACAGTTCCGTCGAGAACACCCAAGGGAGAACTCGAACAATCCACGTTTTACATCCAGAATCTAATAATGAGTACGAGCTTACAATACTTAGTCCATTTATACAACAAGAGTTCTTGAAAATTATTTATTACAATACCAGAGTTCAGAGTGCGATAATTAAACGGCGGAATAAAAATAAACATCTAGCGGAAACGATACAGGGATCCGTCTGTGCCCACCAGAAGAATCCTCCACACAAGAGTTACTCCTCAAGCTGCACCTACAACAGGGGTAAAATAAACCCTGAGTACACAATGTACTCGCAAGACTTACCTGACCAATCGGAATAGTTTCCCGACTCTCAGAGATATGATAGGCAATATGGGTTTTCTGTTTTCTTATTGTTTGCGAAAAGCATGATTAGAAGGACATCCTTAAGATCAAGTTTAATTAGCAGTCATGATTACTTCATTAACTAACCATTCTAGGTATGCATCTATTCTACTTTCAAGCAAGGGTTAAGGAATCAGAACCATTTCACCATCTTTCATCTTCCAGTTCTTACTACGGAGCTAGACCATAGCCAAGTCGTACCATCTCACAGAAACTGCGATTCGTGAACCAATGCATCCCAGCTGGGTACCCAAAACACACGCCCTATTTATACCCCAGGCACAAACAAGATCAACCCATTCCACTCCTGTCACGGGGTCCAGGTCCCCGTCCAAACTTGGACTCCAAGCCTCCACACTTGAGACCCGGTCTCAGTATGGTGCTTAGACCTCCATCTTTCCCCGCCTCTAATCAGTCGGTCTGGAAAGAACCAGAACCCACGACAAGAGCGTAACGAGTCTTCCTGCTCTCATAAACAAGTATGTGCTCAGGATAATAAGTCTGTCATCTACAGCAACGGACGAGCCTTAATTGACACGAACAGGAAAAACTGTGTAACCAAGCTATGCCCCGTTGGCCACGGGACACAACCTGTTACACCCATCAATACCCATACCATATCCCTACCATGTCTCCATTTTTTCTTTCATCATTTTATTATGAGAGTAATAATAATCCTCTATTGTGAGCAACGGTAGGGTACTCACGCTACCGATGACCTAAGCATAGTATCTACTCGAACCTGCACTAGTAAGACTCTTAGGACAGGTGTATCTATCCATGTGGTTTCCATAAAATTCCTGTAACATAAATGCATAACACATATATATACGGTGAATTATAAAATAGAGGTTATGCACGGGGGCTTATCTTGGGCAAACACGGTGTCAGTTGAGTCAGTCAGTGGTGGCTCCGGGACCTCCTCCTGCATAAGAATCTCTTCCTCGTACTCCTCGATGATCTCCTCGAACTCGTGATGGCCGGTGGTCATGATCTCTGCCAACTCATTCTCTACATGCATGCGATGATGATGCAACACTTAGCATTCAGACAATAGCAACTCTTAAACTAAGAATTCACATACCAAGCTACTAAACTAGCTCTAATAACTAAGATACTATGTTGACTATCATCTTCATCAAGTAAGGTGTTGGATTCAACTAACAAACACTCAGTTTTGTAATTTAAGGATATATCTTTATTTCTACTAATGTTTTAATGTATATTAAAACAAAGAGTATTTAACTACCCTAATACTTAGTCTATTCTAAGGCTACAAAAATTACAGTGAGCACATAATAATACAATGAAGCTACTATAAAATTTTTAGGACTAAAGCTATCACCAATTTACCACAAAAAATCCTACAATAATTAACTTAATATCATTAAGCATCCTCAAATGATTTAATAGATCCTAATGTCAACACGTATAAATATGAACTAAATACATCAACCGATAGAGCACAATTTTAGGAACCTAATAAAATTTATTTCATAATTTTTAGACACCTACATGATTTTATATGATTTACCAAAGATAAGCTCAAAAAATAAATTAGAAAACCATTGCTAACTCCTTATGAAAAAGAAAACTAAATCTCCCGCGCAGCCCACACACGCGGCTCGCA